ACCTGTGTTACCTGTTGGACGTCTGAGGCGCCGTCAGACAGAAAACACTCGTCTCATCTGATTCCAGAGCTTCAGATCCACTTCATCTGTTCGACCCGTTTCATCTCCTGCTGCGTTTAAATATCAAACAGCTGATGTAACGGCAGCATTTCATCGTCTCGTCGCTTCTCTTTCAATCCCACTCGTCTAGTTTCTAACCGGCCGGTTTCTTTAAACCAAATGTGGATTTCTACATTTCAAACCTTCCATCAGCTGCTTTGCTTTTCTTTGATTCTCAGTAAAGGAGGCGAACAGGCTGGATTCTGAACATGATTTAACTCTCTGGTCCTTCAAGTCGCTGTGATGATAAAAGTCTGTTTATCTGGAACTGACTGATGAGCAGCAGCTCGTCTGACTTTAATCAGATGAACCTGAGTAACCTTCTGATCCTGACAACCCGGTCTGGAGGCAGATGATCTGTAAAATCTGTAAACCTGAAACTTCAACTTAATCATCTATGACGTGCTGCTTTGATCAAAATCAAATCTGTATTTTTTGTAAAGATAATTTATTAAAAAATTTTTTAAAAAGGGTTTGGCAATAAAATTAGATTTAATATTACTAATTTTATAAAACTACAATAATAAAAAAATTAGAATTTTTTTAACTCTTATTTTTCAGATTTTAATCATTTTGTTAAATTATCAAAAAATTACTGGTAAAGTATCAGAAAAATATAAACATGTTGACTGTAAAAACAAACAAACAAACAAAACATTAAAACTGTAAATAATGTCCACAGTAAAAAACAAATAAAAAAATAGTGATACTTTATTTTTATTCTTTAAATAATGTTTGGCAATAAGCAATTCTACAGCTTTATTTTGCAGACTTAGAATTTTTTTTATTTCCTATTACTTTTTTTTTTTACTCTTACTTTTGCAGATTTTAACCGTTTTGTTAAATTACAAAAAAGTATTGACATGTTGACTGTATAAACAAACAAACAAACAAAACCCCACAACAAAACAGACTAAAAGTGTAAATAATGCCCACAAAAATAAAATTACTTCATTGATTTTATTTTATTTTATTTTGTGTTTTTAATGTGTTTAATTTTAAAAACATTACTCTACAGATAAATGCTGTTATGTGAAATTAAAATGATGTATATTAAGGTTAAAACAGTCAATTTTTGAACTCTTATTTTGCAGATTTTTGCTTTTCATTTTGTTAAATTACAGAAAACAAAGAGGAAAAAAAGTCCAGTTTGTGACTTTGATGAACAGAAATGAGTCTCGAGTGGTTTGTTTGTTCCTGCTGGTACCTGTTCATCACCTAAACTCCGCCCCCTCAGGTACGCTGGTGTGCAGCGGGACAGGAAGCTCCTCCATCTCCTCCGTCGCCATGGTAGCCATCCCCGACTGCGTGGACGAGGCCACGCAGACCGACATCAGCTTCCAGAACTTTGTGACGCTGAGCAGAACCAGAGGTCACCATCATCACCACCATCATCATCATCACG